AAAGCAATCTAGATAGCCTTGACTTTTTCCAGTATTTATCTTGTCAGACAGACAACCCAACCACAACACAAGTAAACTGCCTAATGCCTAAATAAAAATTATAATAAGCAGAAAGTGTATGTTAGGTCTGTTCTTCAAGAATACTTGCAATGTATTAAATGTTTACCATATGTCAAAACAATTTAAAATTTTTAATATATCATTCTTTCATCTTCAAAATAATCCAGTAAAATAGGTATTATTACCTCCATTTTACATATGAGGAAACTGAAGCTCAATTCTAAATAACTAGCTCAAGGCCACATTTCTATTAAGCAGCCACGACAAGACTCAAACAGCAGCCTTCATACAGAATAGGCTGCTCTGGCTCTGAAGCCTATATACTATATGCTATCCATATTCAGAGTTTCACAATCTTGGCATTACTGACATTTAGGCCAGATAACTGTTTGTTGTTGGGAGCTGCCCTGTGCACTGAAAGAAGTTTTAAAGCACCCCTAGACTCTACCCACTAGATGCTAATAGCACCCTTCCATCAGGTAAGACAATCAAAAGTGTTTTTAGACATTGCCAAATATCCCTCTGGGGAGAAAATTACCCCTGGTTGAGAACCACCATCATAATTTCATGCTATCTACATACTGGTTAGCACACAGTCAACATATACACTCCCTTCTGAGAAGAAAAATGTTATTTTTCATAAAGTGATTTTCCAGCAAAAGTTCACATTAAAATAAGCTGGTAGTTTATCTAAAACCTTTGCTAAAGACTACACTGAGCCTAAATTGAGGCTATTATGAGTATGCTGCTTGTGTAGAAGAACCCTCAACAAATAAGAAAATATATTTTTACTAATTCAATAGTTTGTACTTTTGCAGAGAGGACAGAACAATGGAAGGGGGGTATTTTCACAGGCATCTCTAGAGTGAAGGAAGACCTGGAAGATAAAAATCAAAGGGAAGAGGCAGTAAGCCAAAGGGACTTAGGAGAACTGAGCTCAAAAACAAAAAGCAAGGCACATGTGGAAGGGCTGTCAAGATAGTCACTGGCGTGGCAGATTCTAACATAAACATGTTCAATGAAGTTGAAATACCCAAAATACCTCTGAAAGCAAGATGAAAAACCATAGAAAGAAGGGAAAACCCTAATGTATGTGTGAAAAGCTAGAGAAAACTATCAATCAAAAGTACATATCGCAATAAAGCAAGTCCCACACAAAAAAAATGTGCAGTTTTCTTGCAAATGTATACTTGTGAGATGGCATTTCTAAAATTCTGATATTTGAGAAGAAATTACAGAAGCTAATTTCATGTGGCTCTATAGGGATTTCTTATTCTCAATACAAGTTTACTTTCAAAATAATGAACCAACAAAATCCACATCTGAAAACAAGTTAATACCCTCAGGACAGATCCAGCAATAATGTTAACCTTTGTCTAACATCTACTTTATAATTACCGTAGCAGCCATCATTTATGAGCTGATCATATGCCAGGTATTTTAATAGGCACTTTTCATATAAAAGATCAATTAATAATCCAAACAACTCTCTAAGATAGTATCCCTCATTTTCCAGAAAAGAAAGCAGACTCAGGTAACTTAAGGAACATGAACATAATCTTTCCTTCTCGACTAGTATTTCACTGAAAGTCATCTTCAAGTATAAACAGTAAAACAACTGCTGTAAAATGAGGTATATGTGATTCCCCCCACAAAAGACAGGTAATTAAGTTCTATTAATATTACTTGCAGCAAGGCACACTGCCACCAGGAACCAGACTGGAGGTCAACATAACCCTGTTGGCTCTTGATCAACATTTTACTCTCATATCAGGAGATTCCAAAGTCATCTATGCAGATGTTCTGTTGCTTTCAAACGTAAGCTGCCTTCCTGCAGTAAGCTATAAGAAAACTAATAAGGCAGAATCCCTGGAAGTATCCATTTCCTTTGTAGGAGTCTAATATTTAGTGGTGCAGTGCTGCCACCATGTGGGGCAGACTCTCAAAGAGCGGAACAAAGCCAGTCCTCAAGAGCAGTAAAATAAGGACTCACATCCATTACTGGAGTAAGATTGAGAAGATTTCCATAATAAAGCAGTTTTCAGATAAAGGTCTTTATGTGTTCCAAATTGTAACCATTTTGAGAAAATGAAACAGTTCTAGATGTGTATGTGTGCACATATAACACATTTAAATTCTATTATATATATTCATCCATGAGGTAGTGATCAGCAATGGGTTTGGGGACTCAGAACTAGGTTAGAGTCCTGGCTACATTACTACTGGCTACATGACTTTATGAAGAGTTTTTCAGTCTGAGCGCACAGTTCCTGAACTCTAACATGGAATAACCTCTACAGGGCAGATCTGAGAACTAAGTGAAGCATAAAGCATCAACCATCGTGCATAGCATAGAAGGCCCTTAAATTTAAAATTCTCCTTTCCATCATAAGCCTTAGGAACTTGTGAGTGGTTTGAGCTATCAGCAGCATTTGACCCCCACTGATAAAAGGAGTGTTCTAACTGTTCTAACCACAGTTGTAATACTTTAAGTAAAAAGTAGGGCATACAGTTGAGATGAAAAGTATGGATTCAAGATAAAAAGTAGGTATGTGCCAATGTGTGTTGGCTACCTCTTAAGTTCAGTGGTTTGAGTAGGAGTATGCATAACAAGGCCAAGACAAGAGTAAGGTAACCGAGGCACTCCAAGCTTAAAATTTAAGGAGGCACCCTGTTTTCTGGCTTGTGCAGGTACAGAGCCAGGACCTGAGTGAGTGCCTACTTAAATTTTACTCTCTGAGGAACCTCTCTAACAATAAATTGGATAGTATCAGAGAAAAGTTCTGCTACCGAGTCTGTCAAGATTACAGAAGGCAGTATTAAGAAGGCAGTAGGACCAACAATTTGATATCTAATGCTGATACCCTGCTTTATGAAAATCTGCAATAAAGAGACAACAAAACAAGAGGCATTCCTAAAACAGATTCTCAAAAATCTACTAGGTAGCCTTAAATGTTCTCTAAAAGTCTCTTGAAAGATACTTGTAGAAATCTCCCCAAATCAATCTCTTGATTAGTTATAGTGTAAAACAGGTTAAGAATCTAAATTCAAATAAAATTTAATATATCATAATATTCATGTGTGATCTTGCTCAAATTATATAAAGCTAAGGGGTAGGGAAAGAAAATAAGTAAAATAAAACTGGCATGTACTGATAATTATTAAATCTGATAATAAGTGGATTCATTTATTTGTTAAATTCATTTATTCCCTCTAATTATTAATGTCTGAAGATTCCCATAATAAAAAACATAATTAAATAAATAGCATACATATAATACTTGAGTACTATGAACTGAATGAAAATCAGGCCTCTCCCCTAAATAAATCAGACAAACTAGCATGTTCTAAAACCTTTCTATTCTTCTCAACTGATCTGGGAAAAGATCTCTAAGTACCACTGGAACACACAAACAAAATGCCTTTATTGCTAAACCCTCCATTAGTCCTTATCCCTCTGACCATCTGATTTTATAGGTTCTGCATTGAATTCATATTAGTGTAGAGATGACTTTTCCCCCCCTCAAACTGGAGTTGCCCATGAGTTAGAATTCATTTTCACCTTGACCCATTCCACATTCTTAGCACCACTGAACAATTAATAAGTTTCCGCAGGGCACAAGATATTCTGCTCAACTGGTTGGCACTTCCAGCCCAAACACTTTCCACCTCCTCTACTGTCCTCAGGTAGAGAACTATAAAGATAGTTGCTCAAAACAACAGAGTGAATCAAAGGCAATGCCAAGAACACAAGCTGGTACCAGCTAAGCATTTTATAACACAGACACTATTGCCTTATAAACTTATTTCTTTTTGGAATAAAAAAAAGTTGCCACATAGTATTACTTGGGGAAAAAAGGGCAAGGCTGAATCTTCCAATACTGACGGTGATACCTTGTCAGAAGTCAGGGTTTAAGCACTTGCACTTTCACTCCCCCTTCTATGCCTAGGAGGTAGCTGAAAGATTCCTGCTGGTACTACTATAAGTACCTTAAAATATGTGACTTGCTTCATCCTTTGGCCTTAATACTAATTTTAAAGGATAATAAGCAGAAGCCCAGGCTACGCATAAAATAAGATGAACCAAACAAGATGTCAAAGCAGAGATCTGAGCAGGTAATTTGCAAGTTAGAGACAGTATCTATTTTCAGGCAAATTCCAACTCTATATTTGAAAAAGTTCAACAATATTCAGAGGTTATACCATGATTAACTCTTAGCATTACTCACCTTCAGATAAATACTGCACTGGACAAAAAAAGGAAGCACTTTAAAGAAAGCAGTAACAGAACTTACCAATCAAATGTACTCAACACTCAATTCAAATGAGTTTCAGTTACTAGCAGAGTCAATGTATATTGCTTGCAACTTGACCCACTTCATTATATAAGCAGAGTTAAAGTCAGTAAGGGAAACAAAAGATCCCAAAACTTTAAGGTGTTAAGTTATGTTCTGGCTGCTAAACACTTAGAACATAATCAAGTTGGCTAAAAAGAATCTTGCCCTAGAATTCTATTTTAAAAAATGCGTTACAATAATTAGGCAATAAAGATCACCTTGATTCAGATTCTATTTCCACACCACCAGAAAATACCACAAACATCTGAAGAAATAATATTAAAACAAATAATATATACATATAAAAATTTAAGGTAAAACCTCCTGAAGACAATGATGAAAGTACTGGGGTTTTTTTATGAGCAAATACAGGGGTAGGTACAATACAAAGGTTTGCTTTAAGATCCTTATATTTCAGTACTTGGTTCTCACCTCAAAAACACCTAGGGTGTGAGATATATACAATCTGTGTGACACAGAAAGGCATGTTTCCCACAGCTACCCTGTAGCTCAATGTCCCAAAGACCAGGTTTGTGTTAAATATGCTTTGACAGAGTACCCATTTTAAATACTGCTCTCTTTATAAAAGCAGAAGCTCATTACCATTGGATTTGAATCTGCTATGAGATCACGTAGAGAATCCAGAAATCCCTGATCTTCTACCATTTGGGCATTGATATCATGGAGTTTTGCCACACAGACTGCTGCTGTTTTCCGAACATAGGGGTCTTCATCCTTCAAGCACTTGCGGAGGGGCTCACAGAGATATTCTGTAATTTTGTCCACCCGGATGCATCCCATGGTTCTGACTGCCAAGGCCCGAATCAAAGGATTAGGATCTTCACAGTCCTACAGAAAACAATCATCAACAACTGTAAGTGTACATAGTGACTAAACGTAAACAGTCCAGTTTACAAAAGCCACAAAAGAATACTTCCTTAATTTAAGCTTCCAGTTACATTGTACATCAGACCCAATCTCCCATGTTATTCCTTTCCGAAGTACAAATCTTAGTTGCCTATTTAAAAGTTAGGTTAGAAATTCATTTAACTGCTTTATATATATATACAATGGGGAAAGGTTCAGTAGGATTCATTCAAGGGCCAGGCAAAATCCTAGTGAGTTGGTATGACCATCCCCATAGCCACCAGTGGACATGCCCTAAAACAGAAGAGGCCTTTGCACTAGTATTCTGGTACAGAAAAAAACGAGGAATTGGAAAGACTGTGTTCCACTCCATAGTCAGTCTGTAAGTACCAAGTAGAGAGAAAAGGGGCTAGATTTCTGGAGCCTAGAGCAAAGAAAATAAAAAAGAGCACCGGAGCTGGTTTGGGCCTGACATGAGTACATGGAGCTAAGCAGCAGAGAGGGCCCTCTGAGCTTCTCATTAGCATATATTCTCCCTTGCTTCCAGATACAGTACAAGTAGAACACCAAGAAGGAACACTCTTTTAAGCTGCCCTACATCTAAAAAAATTTCTTGAAACCATATAAATCCACGCATAGCTCTAAGTTTCAAAAAATGTAAACTAAATTCTTTCCAATGATATATTTCATCTATGAACTACCAGACAGGTAGAATGAATTGTTATGTTCTCTCTGACTCTGTATAATGTAGCTAACCAAAGGGAAAGAACAAAAAGTCCATGAAAAGGAAGAAAGCATATTGGTTATTTTCCAAAACATTTTAAACAGAAGTTAATTTTAGAAATGCTATCTGAATTTTTTTTTTTTTTTACTGTAGACTAAGTTCCAGACAGAGAAAAAAACAAGTAAAAAAATTAATGGGCCGGGCGAGATGGCTCACGCCTGTAATCCTAGCTCTTGGGAGGCCAAGGAGGGCGGATTGCTCAAGGTCAGGAGTTCAAAACCAGCCTGAGCAAGAGTGAGACCCCGTCTCTACTATAAATAGAAAGAAATTAATTGGCCAACTGATATATATATAAAAAATTAGCCGGGCATGGTGGCACATGCCTGTAGTCCCAGCTACTCGGGAGGCTGAGGCAGAAGGATCGCTCGAGCCCAGGAGTTTGAGGTTGCTGTGAGCTAGGCTGATGCCACAGCACTCACTCTAGCCTGGACAACAAAGCGAGACTCTGTCTCAAAAAAAAAAAAAAATTAATGGGAACAACTCCATTATTACGTTTATCAAATCTAAGGATAGGAAAAATTTGGCTGGACATTGAATATCATTAAAGAAACTTTTTAACTGTCAATTTTTAAAGATGTGACAATAGTATTGTGGTTATGTTTAAACAAGATATCTTATTCTGACAAACAAAAAGATGACATTATATGATGTTTAGGATTTGCTTCAAAATTATCCAGCAGGAGAGGGTGTGGGAGTCAGGAAAAGTATGTATGGAGAGTATAAATTAAACAAGAGTGGTCAGTACTGCTAAAACTGCAAGATGAATACTTAGGAATTTATTATACTATTCCCTCTACTTGAATACGTTTAAAACGTTCCATATTGCTTCTGGAAGTTGACCTTAAAAAAATTAAAAAAATAAAAAAATAAAACGTTCCATAATACAAAAATTTAATCAAATGTTGCAAGACCTATTGAATAATAAAAGTAGTACCTCCTGCAGTTTCCACTACTTTTGATTCATAAGCATAATTTCTACAAAGACAAAATAGGTAAAGTCTGAAGGTTACTGATATTACAATAATATGGACAACCTCTGTCAGCCTTGGAAGGTAAAACAGTGAGATTTCACCTGGCTTCTGAGGTTTCTACCCACCTGGCTAGGATGCACCAAGCCCTGTTAACAGAAGGCTCACCATATGGTTCAAATTTCTCTGGATGATATGCACTGGCATACAGAATCCTTAACACATGAACACTCCTCCTAGTCACTGCCAATACTTCCCTAGATGTCTTCCTTTAGAACAGAGGTTGCTTACTTGCAATGCAGATACTAACTGAAAAGGTTATTTGAAGTCTTGAGTCTTCAGGAAAAGTTACCTTCACAAAGCTGTTGACAGCCATGATGGCCATGTCTGGCTGACTCTTGGCGTAGTTCATCAGGTAGAGATACACAAGCTTCTTTAGTTCCAGGTTGTCAGTCTGCATACAGTTCACCACATCTGGAAAGAGAGAACTGAGAAAAAAGGGGAAAAGAGAAAACAAAATTAAGCAGATGCTGGTGTCAAGCTGTTGGACAGAAAATGAAATGGCCTTAACAGAGTGATTTGATGCAAAGACAAATGTTCCCACACTAATAATTATTATCAGGGAAATGAATTACTAAAGAAATTGCAGTACTGGTCCCAAAAAGGTCTCTAGTTTCTGAAAACACTTTGTATTAGGAAAAATTTCAAACAGAGTACAGTATAATTAACCCAATGTATGCATCACACACAAATATCGATACATGCCCCAATCTTGTTTCATATATATCCTTAAATCCATTGCCCCATCCCTGTCTCCACCCTATGCAGTTGGTCTGGATTATTTTTAAATAAATCCTAGACATCATACCATTTCATCTATAATATTTTAATGTATATCTTTACCAATCTTTTAAAAAAATCACTACCTTTATCACATAAAATTCAGATTTTTTTTAACATTACACAGTGAGATAAATGAAAATTTGAGAGTAATCAAATATAAAAGGAGTTTATACCCTTCCCAAGTTCTAGTTGTTTCATGATTTACCATTCTCCTATAAGCCACAACAAAGACATTTATGTCTCCAGTCACAAAGTAGCACCATTAGCTTAGAAGAGTTGGGTTTGTCAGATTCTAAAGTGTAAGCTGTATTTTTAAAATATAGGTTAACTAAAATTTTATGGGAAGTTAGCAATTAATCTCCTTTAAGGCTTTATCAAAGTACCTTATAAATTTTTAATGCTTCTAAACATCTTACTACTGGCATAGAAGATAGGAAAAACAAATGTCAGTATATGTCTACAGAATAGTAAGAGAATGACTAAAACAACTTGTCACAGAGTATAGGTCCCATACACACACAAAAACAGGGCACAGAAGTAGAAATTATTTACTAAAAGGAAGTTAGACTGCAAAGTCAAAGAATCTACCACATCTCTAATGAACCAATGACTCTGTCCTTGAAGGCAAACTATTTGTTTAACTTGTATGTATGATACCTAGTGTAGTTTCATGAACAGGTAGTTATTTAATAAACACTCTCCAAAAATGAAATTAGGAGAATAGTTCACATGCAAAACAACAGTAAATAAATCTGAAATAATAACCAATGGTAAATTTAAGATCCTAAATAATGTAACTCTAGACAACCTGCACAAGATCAAGATTTTATAGCCAGCATTCTAGAGGTAAAAACTGTTAAGTGCCAACCTATAAAACTAGAAACTTGAACTCTCCTATATGAAGGCCACTAGTCATATGTAGCTACTGAACACTTGCAATGTGCCTAATCTGTACTGAGATGTGATATAAATGCAAAACACACATTAGATTTTGAAGACTTAGTATGAAAAATACAATGTAAAATATATTAATGTTTATATTGATTACATGCTGAAATGATAATATTTTGGATATATTGGGTTAAAAAATTATTACTAAAATTAATTTCATCTGTTACTTTTTACTTTGTTAATATGGTTATCAGAAAATTAAAAATTATATATGTGGCATGCACTGTATTTCTACTACATAGCACTGAACTTGAGGTTACTTGCAGGAAAGACTGAAATACAATAACCTCCAAATAGCTAATTACTATTCTATTTCTTTGCGCTATCTTTCTAGGCACAGCTCATATGTCATCTCCTCCAAGAAGGGTTCTTCAACTATTCCTATTTTTTTTTTTTTTTTTGAGACAGAGTCTCACTTTGTTACTCAGGCTAGAGTGAGTGCCGTGGCGTCAGCCTAGCTCACAGCAACCTCAAACTCTTGGTTTCAAGCAATCCTACAGCCTCACCCTCCCGAGTAGCTGGGACTACAGGCATGTGCCACAATGCCCGGCTAATTTTTTCTATATATATTAGTTGGCCAATTAATTTCTTTCTATTTATAGTAGAGACGGGGTCTTGCTCTTGCTCAGGCTGGTTTCCTACTCCTGACCTTGAGCAATCTGCCTGCCTTGGCCTCCCAGAGTGCTAGGATTACATACGTGAGCTACCGCACCCGGCATCTTTGGTAGAACTCTTATTGCCTTTAACATATACGCTTTAATACCCACTTACATAAAAATATTTTATTTCTTCCTAATTTTTCAAGTTTTGAGTCTCATCAACTAGACAGTAAGTGCCATGAAGGCTAATAGACATTTATTATACTTTTGTTTGAATAGTAATAAGTGGTATAGTGCTAGGCACATAATAAATTATCAGCAATTAGCAGATTAACAAGCAGTATTTTACCAAGCATACAAAAGGAAAGTCAAGAGTTTTAACTTGGCCAGGCGCGGTGGCTCACGCCTGTAATCCTAGCACTCTGGGAGGCCAAGGCGGGCAGATTGCTCGAGGTCAGGAGCTCAAAACCAGCCTGAGCAAGAGCGAGACCCCATTTCTACTACAAATAGAAAAAAATTAATTGGCCAACTAATATTTATAGAAAAAATTAGCCGAGCATTGTGGCATATGCCTGTAGTCCCAGCTACTCGGGAGGCTGAGGCAGTAGGATTGCTTGAGCCCAAGAGTTTGAGGTTGCTGTGAGCTAGGCTGACGCCACGGCACTCACTCTAGCCTGGGCAACAAAGCGAGACTCTGTCTCAAAAAAAAAAAAAGTTTTAACTTTTCTGTAGGATATAGAAATAAGCTTGGCAAAAATACAATAGCCCCTGAAAAGAACTATGTCAACATTTACCAGTTCATTTATACTAATGCTCTCAATCTAGATTTATTCCTTGGCAAAAACAGCCCTTCAGTGACTAGATAGATCACAGACAGGCAAATTACTACCTGTGGGGTAAATCAAGCCCCCTGCCAGAATTTTGTACAAGCTATAGGTTAAAAGCAGATTTTAGAGATGAACATTTACAACTGATTTGATGATAATACCATGAACCCCAAATAAAGCAAAATATTATTCTCCTCCAAAAAAAGGAATCCACTCTTCTCATTAGATATGTAGTACAAAAGATTATACCTAATTATTATTGTATTTTGTATTTCATCAATAAAAATTTTGAGGAAATTTATTTTCTCTCTTATTATATGAGTACCTATATAATAGACTCAATTTTGCCTCTTTGCCTGCTAAGCCTAAAGTATTCACTACTTTGCCCTTTATAGAAAGTTTGCCAACCCCTGAGATAGATGGTCAAGAACAGCAATTTAAGAAACCAACAAATAAAACAACAATAACAAAAACTCACCTGAGAACAAGAGTAATTTTTGATGCTAACATTTCTATCTGGGCTCCCTGTTTGATTACAGGAGCAGCTCTCACTCCATTGGTCTCAGGATCCATTTACACTCTTAAAAATTATTGAGATCCCAAAGAGTTTTCATTCATGTTGTTTATACCTATTGATATTTTACCATAATGGGAATTAAAACTGACAAATTCTGGCAAGGTATGGTGGCTCACACCTGAAATCCTAGCATTCTGGGAGGCTGAGGTGGGAGGACTGCTTGAGGCCAGGAGTTCAAGACCAGCCTGGGCAAGAAAAATAGAAAAAATTACCCAGGCGTGGTGGCATACACCTGTAGTCCCAGCTACTTTGTGAGGCTGAGTCTAGGAGTTTGAGGGTGCTGTGAGCTATGATGACACCACTGTACACTAGCCTGGGTGACAGAATGAGAGTCCATCTCAAAAAAAACCCAGAAATTTTAAAAACATTAATCCATTTGAAATAATCATAAATACATTTCATATTTTAAAGTGAAAATTTACTATATTTTTATAATGAGAAGAAGGCATTATTTTATATTTTTGCAAATTTCTTTAGTATCTAGTTTTAACAAAGATAGCTGGATTCTCATAAATGCTCCTGTATTCAACCTGTTGTAGAACATTGTTTTGGCTGAAGTGTAAGAAGAAAATCTAGCTTTATACATGTATGTAACTTGGAAAATGAAGGAATATTTTAATAGCTTTTTCCTATAACTGGATACTCTTGATACTACACTAAAAGTAGACATAGTGGGTTTTCTCTTTCTTTTTTAAAAGTTATTTGCAACATAGAACCTGAAACCCTATCAGTAAACTTTTTGTACTTAATTGCATTAAAATTTATTTGTTATATCATGCATTTAGATAGATCTTTTACCCATGCATAAATTTTGTGATGTACATATGCACTGGTTATTTGGAAAATATTGATTGGTTCACTGCGTTATGTTGACATTTCATTATAAAACGGCAAATAATCACATTCACTAATTTCACCACCAATCTTATCAGAAAAGTCTATAAGTAGTAGGAAGCTGTCAAGCTTATGATGGGAGATAAAAGTTTTCTAAAATTCTAATTTCTACTTTAAAACTTGAAATGTATCTACTATCAAATTTTTTCTTTTGAAGCAACAGGTTCACTTTGTTCATTTTTGATAAAATGTCTCCCGAATACTGAAGCCTGATTAAATACAGCTTATCTGTCAATGATTCTTTCACATAAAAATGGTGTTTGCAATTCAAACAACTGCATAAGAGTTTTCCTCAAGTCAACCATCACACTTTGCTATGCGGCAGAAGAGCTTTATGTGTAATTCCTATTTCATCACATAGAACATTAAAAAGACCTGTACTCGGCCGGGCACGGTGGCTCATGCCTGTAATCCTACAGGCATGTAGGATTTGGGAGGCCGAGACGGGTAGATTGCTCAAGGTCAGGAGTTCGAAACCAGCCTGAGCGAGACCCCGTCTCTACCAAAAATAGAAAAAAATTAATTGGCCAACTAAAAATATATATATAAAAAAAAATTAGCCGGGCATGGTGGCGCATGCCTGCAGTCCCAGCTACTCGGGAGGCTGAGGCAGTAGGATTGCTGAGCCCAGGAGTTTGAGGTTGCTGTGAGCCAGGCTGACGCCACGGCACTCACTCTAGCCTGGGCAACAAAAAAAACTCTAGCCTGTCTCAAAAAAAAAAAAAAGACCTGTACTCAAGGTTCAAGTTTAAAAAAAATAAATGTTTAATGGTTCATGAAGGACACTCATGACATTCATAAGGGAAACTGACCTTTTTTCTCTTGTAAGTACATGGTGGTAACAAATACAATGACAACTGTTATGGTTGGCACCACTGCCTTGATTCATGCCAATCCTTACTTATTTTCAAATGGTCTAACTCAATCACAGAAAAACAAAAAATAAGACCAAATGGATTTTGTTCACATTAATTTTCATCTTGAATTCAGCAACTGAATGTAAAGTTGTAAAGTTGAGAGCATTGGCTTGAGACAATTATAAAATACATGAGCTTCTGCTTCTTGGGATATTTTTATCATCTTCTAAAACTCCCTTAGCCCAAAGATTTGTAACTATGTCAGCTCTCAGGAGGTTTTATGCTAGATCTGAATGCAATAAAACCAAACTCATCTCACTCTTCTAAAAAACAAAACAAAACAAACCCACCACTTAAGTCAGAGAGGTAATATAAAAGCAATTACACTTCCTGATGATTTTAGTGGAACAAACCCATTAGAGATTCTATGGTTCTAACAGTTTTATAGGAAAAGCAGTAAAGGCCATAAAATGGGGTATGGATCTCAAAAGTAACCAATGGCAGGAGTAATTATCCTTACCTAACATCCTTCCCTACAGTCATAGCAGCAATCACTTTCTTCACAGCCTCCTTCCTCTTTTCTTTCTTTTCATTGTTGAGTTCAGCTTTTAATTCAAAGATTTCTCCTATAAGAGATGAGAACAAACAGGTAAGGTCCTAGGATCCAGAGAACTAGAGCAGAATAACGCACTATGTAACAACTAATAACAAGCAGGGCAACGAAGTAAGATTATTAAAAAATTACACAATATATAAAATTCAAAGCCCTAGAATATTAACTGGCCCACTAATAAGGACACTACCAGTAAATTTTTAAACCCTTTTAAGTTATGGCCAGAAAGGAGGGTGCAATCCAGATCTTGAGGAACCATAGAGTGGGAAAAAGCAAATCTGATATCTAACTAAAATGAGGAGAGAAGAGTATCTGAAGGATGATCTGCCAATAGAATTTTAAGGTCCTGAAAAGAATATAAATGCAAGCAAGGAGAAGATTAGAAATCAGTGTTTCCAACCAGAAGAGAATCAACATATCTCATTTACCCACTCTCATCTTTACAGATAAAGGAAATGAGGCTCAAAGGTAACAGAGTAAGTTAGTGATAAAGCTGAGATTAGCACTGTGTCTGCTTTTTTTTTTTTCCTGAGACAGAGTCTCACTGTGTTGCCTGGGCTAGAGTGCTGTGGCATCAGCCTAGCTCACAGCAACCTCAACCTCAAACTCCTGGGCTCAAGCAATCCTGCTGCCTCAGCCTCCCGAGTAGCTGGGACTACTGGGCATGCCACATGGGCATGTGACACCATGCCTGGCTAATTTTTTTCTATATATTTTTAGTTGGCCAGTTAATTTCTTTCTACTTTTAGTAGAGATGGGGTCTCGCTCTTCCGCAGGCTGGTCTCAAACTCCTGAGCTCAAACAGTCCACCCACCTCGGCCTCCCAGAGTGCTAGGATTACAGGCGTGAGCCACCATGCCCGGCCTCTGCTAACTCTTAAATCCAAAGGTTCTCAACCTTGTACCCATACTAATATTACCTGGGAAGTATTTAAAAATAACAATGCTTAGGCCCCACTCTGGACCAAATAAATCAGCATGTCAAGGAGAGCTCCCCTAAGTGATTCTCATGTACAACTAGGACTGAGAATAACTGCTCTAATCAGTACTTTAATAAGTTAAGGGCCTTAAGGCTTCATCCTATTCAATCAATCTAATAAGAATAATCTTGAAGCTTCAACAATGGTACAAACCAGAGTCATTTCTAAAGATATAATCTTGAATGACTGCGTAGGCCCTGCACTGTGAAATGCAACGGACTGTAACCACTATTTTAAGGCTCCAGGCTCATTTATCTTTGAGATGCTGGAATCAAAATAAAAAAGAAGGTAACGATGCTTATCTTGCTTAAAAACAAAGGAAAAAACCCCATACCACTAAGTCCATGAAAAAGAGGTTACCTCTCCCACCTCAACCTGTCATCTATACCCTCAAACTCATCTATAATTTTCCTGCCTCATTTTCCTCCACCTTCAAGACTGCTCTTGATGTTCCTTTTAACCAGACTTCATTCATCAATATATTATAGAAATAGTGGGGACAGATGCTGTATCATCTGCCTGAAGCCCCTAAATGGGAAGGATGAAACTGACAACACACATAGCAGTAAAGCACTAAAAAAGCTGCTTCATCAATATCCATTGCCAATAAGGCAAAAAAGTGTTATAAAATCGCTATTTAATTGATAGCTGCAAAAAAAACAGCACAGCCAGAAAAGTTGGGCACTTTCAAGAGTCATTCTCTTCTTCACCAAACCCTATGCTGCCAAATACAGCTCTTAGGGTTCCCATCATTCATTTCTGGGAACAGTAAAGGACAAACAGCAGGGTTTCATAAAGTCTGAATTGTGAACAGCAGCAGCTGTTGCAGAACCAAAGCAGGATGTAACTGAAATTATTCCAATTTTAAAACCATAAACTTAAAGAATATGTTTCAGTGGCAGTTCTAGTGGGCGTTGCAGGAAGCAAAAGGAACACAGTCTATTCGAAGTTTTTAAAATGTGGCATTTATCTGCAGTGATTCAATCTGTAAATCTCAAACTTTAATAAATGGATAAAAAAAGATAACCTGGACCCCTCACAAGAGAAAGTTTGAAGAGTTAGGTGAGTTTTTAAATTATATCCCTTTATGTCATTATAGATAATACATTGATTTCAAAGCACACAAAATAAGAATAAGAAATAAATACGTTTATAAACAATAAGAAAATCAGAAAAAGCTGGGAATGAATGACAAGGGGCTAATGGCTTTTGTGAAGTGTAAGTAATAAAAATAAGGAGGAAGAATTTGGGCGGGGCCAAAGACAGGTACTAAGAGAAACAAAGTATCTAATGTATACTACAACTTTATTAAATTCTTATATTTTTCCCTCGTCCTTCCGCTAATCAAATCTACCAAGCACTGCTAGTAGCAAGCAATAGTTCTCATTCTTGCCTACACATTAAAATAATCTGGGGAGTTTTAAAATCCCCACACCCAGACCATACCCAGGACCACTGAAATCAGGATATCTGGGGTTGAGACCCAGGCATCACTATTGTTTTAAAGTTCCGTGCGCAATTCCAATATGTAGCCAAGGTTGAAAGCCACCATCTAGTAGTTGACATAATCAAGCAACTCACTATGGAACTTTTTGTATTAAAGTAAAAGAACTTGTTTACCTATACATAGCTCCAATGATAGAACAGGGCAGACTGAGCTTTTAGGAAATACTGGTGGCTCCCTTCCTCACTCCAGGCCACTGTAGTATGCCCTTCTACTTAATTTTTTTAAATTTTTATTTTGAAATAATTTTCATCTTAAACTTGCAAGATTCTTCAATTGTTAACATTTTGCCACATCTGCATTCTCTCTACATATTTACATTTTTTTCCTGTACCATTTAACAGTAAGATGCAGATATCATATTGCAGCCCCAAATAAATACATCAGTGTATGTTTTCTAAGAACAAGGAAATTCTCTTATAGAAACATAATACAATGATCAAAATCAAGAAATTTAACATTGATTCATCATTATCTAATCTATAGACCTTATTCAAAGGTCTTTTTTTTTTTTTTTTGAGACAGAGTCTCGCTTTGTTGCCCAGGCTAGAGTGAGTGCCGTGGCGTCGGCCTAGCTCACAGCAACCTCACAGTCTTGGGCTTAAGCAATCCTCCTGCTTCAGCCTCCCGAGTAGCTGAGACTACAGGCATGCGCCACCATGCCCGGCTAATTTTTTATATATATATTAATTGGCCAATTAATTTCTTTCTATTTATAGTAGAGACGGGGTCTCGCTCTTGCTCAGGCTGGTTTCAAACTCCTGATCTTGAGCGATCCCCCTGTCTCGGCCTCCCAGAGTGCTAGAATTACAGGAGTGAGCCACCACACCAGCCCAAAGGTCTTAATGATGTCCTTTATAGCAGCTGGATTCCACCTCACTCCCACCTCTGGTCAGAAAGCAGTTCAGGATTATGTCTCTTTAGTCTCCTTTAATCTGAAACAATTCCTTTGTCTTTCATGATGACTTTTTTTTTAAGTACAGGATGGTTATCTTACAGAATGCCCTCAATTTGTCATTGGTGCTCCCTCATGATTACATTGACATTATGCATTTTTGTCAGGCTAACTCATAAGCAATTCTATGTTCTTCTCAATGGATCACATCAAGAAGCAAATGATGTTAGTTTGTCCCACTATTGGTGATATTAACACTGAATACTTGGTTAAGGTGACAGATTTGACACTGTAAATATTTTTCCTTTGTAATTAGTAGTTTGTGAAAAGGTATTTTGAGAATATATATTCTATTCCTCATCAAACTTTCATGTGCTAGCTTTAGCATTTACTGATGACTCTTGCCTAAATTATTACTATGACTGTATGTATTTACACACACATTTATTATTCAATAGTTTATAATCTATCACTATGGTCACTTTTTTGTTGTTCAAATTATCCAAAATTTGGCCAGTGGAAGCCCCTTCAAGCTATGCTCTACTTGACATATCCCCAACATTTTTTGAGCACTTTCTTACTTTCTGGCACAAGATATTCATGTTCATCTTGTACTTTCCCTTGATCCTGTCCTGAAATCAGTCATTTCTTCAAAGAGTCCTGGCTCCTTTTAGTGGGAAATGGTACTTAGAAACCAAGATCTGGACAGTAGGCATCCTTTGCACCTACTCTGACTTAGAGGAAATTGGGATATTTAATCAGAAACTCCACCAGGGTTGGAGTGTTAAGAAAACATGACTCATGCATAGTACACTTAATAAATATTTACTGAATAAATGAATGCAATGAATAAATGGAGATAAAAAGCACTTGGCAGAGTGTCCAACAATCAGGCCAGCAACCATTACAAGAGAAACAAGACAGACAAATTCTGGGGCAGAGAAGTTGTCTTATTTCAGCCACTGGAAGAGAGGAGAAAAGGTACTTTTGGGAAGCCAAATTGTTGGTGAACAAGAGGAAAAGAGGAATGGTAGTTTGTGTCATGTCCAGAATTCTCGGTAAATGTAAGGACTGCTAAATACAAAAGCACAGAATTCTGATCCTGAGAAACAAATAAAGCAAGCTCAGCTATAGGCACAATAGACTGAGAAGTTGACCTTTGATGGGAGGGCCATCCACACCTCTAGGAATGAGCTAGTTTATTTAGGAACAATTTTACAAAAGATGAGAGGCTGGACTTTACCAAAAAGAATCCTTAGTTCCCAGGCCCACATTCGTATGTAAAACCAAGCACTATACTACTGATTACAAAGATGATGAGGCTACTTAAGTAAATTCAGTCTATGACCTAAAAATCGTTACTGACTCTAGATGTTTCCTGTTTTATACATATACCTAGACAAAGAACAGGGTAGATTTTTTGCCCTCCTCAGACCAATCGATCATCAATGGATTAGTGTTGACTTCAAACAGCCAAAAGGAATCCCTTCCTTTCACTAAAACAGAACCAAGTCACAACGATGTATATCACAGTCCCATCTTTTAAAACCTATACATTAATAACTTACTCAAATACATTTATCTGCAGCTTTCCATTGAGACTGTCCACAACGTGAATGTTTGAAGGAAGACATCAAGAACATTCTACTTGCAACAATCTTATACTACAAGTTTTGAAAAATTTCATTGATCAGGTTCTCATACTTACCTTTTTTATTGGTTGTGAAGTACTTGGAGTCAGTCATGATTTTGGATCTTTAATGTGCACCTACAACAAAAGAAAATGCAGCAAAGTATCCAATTAATTTTTTTTTTTTTTTTAAGAGACAGGGTCTTGCTCTGTTATCCAGGCTGGAACTCCTGGGCTCAAGTGATCTTCCTGCCTCAGCCTCCCAAGCTGAGACTATATGCATGCATTACTATATGTATGGCTAATTTATTTTCATTTTTTGTAGAGATGAGAGGGTCTCACTATATCGCCCAGGCTGGTACTGAACTCCTAGCCTCAAGTGACTGTACTGCTTCAGACTCCCAAAGCACTGGGATTATAGCCATCAGTCACCATGGTTGACCTAATTTTGGTTTTTTGGTTTTTTTTTTAAGAGACAAGGTCTCAACTCTGTCACTCAGGCCGGGGTGCAGTGGCACAATCATAGCTCACCTTAGCCTCAAACTCCTGGGCTCAAGCAATCTTCCTCACTCAGCTTACAGCTGGTACTATAGGTGCATGCTATCATGTCCAGCCCAATTAATTTTGAGAACACTTATATTTAAGAATTTCTGCACTCAAAAGTGAGTATCTTCTTCCTTACTACCACCAGTGCTGATTCAGGGATGCAGAGAAAATTAAGAATGTGACTCCTGCCTCAAGGAGCTAATAGGTACAAAATCTAAAGACCAAATGCAATCAGGTACTAATTTGAACCTTATCAGGACTTTGTGATTTTATCCACAATTATCTCCTCAAAGCCTTCAAGAGTTAGACTTTTTTTTAAAAAATCTTCAATTAGTCATGCAAACATTTAAGATAAGTTTATTTGTTTTGAAAGATTTCTCCATTACTTTCCACTCAGGAAAATATGGTTACTTCCTGGTTACTTCTAGTTACTTGCTCAAGTGGGAGTTACTCCAAAGCACGTACTCTGAAGCAGTTTAAGGGCAAAAGAGAAAACAATTTTGCCAATGTACACAACATTACATGCAACTTTCAGTAAAAAGGAATCTCTTTCAGAAAAAAAAGCCTAAATAAATAGGACAATATTCTTTCACAACAAACATCTAAAGAGGCAAAACATGCCCTACACATGACTTTTTTTTAAATTGTGGCTTTCTTATTTCTAACAGTCTACATCTAGCCCAACAGTATTTCAAAGAATAAACAAACAGTTTACAGTTAAAAACAAGGCAAAAGACTGAGATATTTGTGTAGTCGGTCACACTGAATACAATAGAGAATCAGAACTGGTGTTAAAACTTAAAAGAACGTGGATCCAGCCTCAGCTCAGCTAGTCTGTCTCAATTCCCAGGAGAATTAATCCAGCTGACACATGGCTCCACTGGCAAAACAAAAACTGCACAGCAGGATTGGTCATACTTCTCACAAAACAATGACACAATGTTTTTTGATTTAAGAAACTCTAGGACTTTGTCCAATGTACTTTATTTCTTTAAATATATTAAAATATTCCTTCTACACTAAAAAATGAGTATCTTCTTATTCCTTCCACCATCATTAACATTATTTATTACCAACTTCAAGACTAGACACCCTAGCACCTGCTCATTACCAGTAGGTCAATATAGCATGAGTGATAACACATTTGGCAAACAATGGTAAATGTGGATTTGGGAGAAAGGATCTAAGCACCAAACAAATCAATGTCATTAAAGAAACAGAAAAAAAAAAACCAGATAAACATAAAGTAATGAAAAAAATCTGGTTCAAATCTGATCTCTAAAATGTGCTACTTCTACAATTTGATAGAAATGAGACCCAATTGCTACCTTTCCAATCAGCTAATTACTATTTATAGTCTTGATCCTAATATAATAGTTCTTTATGTTGTACCAGAATTTTACTGAATTACCTTGTTAAAAGGAGGTAGAATTCACAAATATCATTACAGAATATGGAAATTTGTTACAATTAAAAATGAATCTATAACAGAGGCTTGCCTTATGTAATGTTTTCATAATGCCTTTCTAGCAAAAATTCAAAGAATGTTATAATCATTTAATCCATTCACAATGTAAACTAAATGTGAAGTGGGCAAATGAAGAAAAAACTCCTTCACATTAAAGATCTGGAATAAATATGAAGTTATCTATAAATTTACATATACAAACAGAAAAATCAGTAAACAGAAATGATTACTAGAGCCTAAGAGGAGGGTTATAGCTCAAATCCATTAGGGGCTGTCTAGGGTGCTATTATGCCATTCTAAGTCTTCCAGGAGCACCAAAATTTAAAACTTGTTTAAGATTCAGAAACAAAACGTCCTTGGAAATTTTCATCCAGTCTCCTCAAAAAGTGCACAAAAATTGTTCTGTTTTCTAAAGCTCTCGTGAATATACAAACATATTAATTTCTTCACAGAAATTTTTACCACATTCTGCTAAACATTAATTAGCCTAATCTTAAATCATGCTTTTATTAGCTGCTCACATATTTCATTATCTCCCCTAACAAATTTCAATGTCAAAGAATATATTTCTGTCCTGTTCACTGTGAACATTAAGTGTTCTTATCTTAACTGAAGAATAATGCACCCACCTAAAAAATTTCAGGGAAGAGAGGAGGGCCAAGTATCTTTAGAAGCCCATAATGTAAATCCTAAATTATTACTACGAATTCCTGCTCTAAAGAGAAGGGATAAACATACCACTCTCTTTACTGTTGTAAACAATAGTAACGAAATAATCCCTATCTGTATTGGCAGAGAAATATTACACCAAGTTGATTCCTGCCTTAAGTCAAAATAAACTCCAAGAAAAATGAAAATAGTCTAAGCAAGAACAAATGAGAATAGTGGTTACACAACACTGTGAATGTACTAAATGCCACTGAACTGTTCACTTTAAAGTGGTTAATTTTATGTGAATTTCACCTCGAAAACTTACATTTTTTAATGAGATGCCAGATAAGGATAAGATGCCAGATACTTAATCACATGCCAGATAAGGACACAGCTGGATTCTCCAAAATATACGATGGCAAAAATTGATGTATGCATTAGAAGCCACAGAAAAAGTAGACAAGATGGAGCTCAAGAAAAAAATTCAGTACTTGCCGAAGTGCCTCAAAAATCAGTCTTCTTCTAGGGGAAGAAGAAAAAAAGAGTTGCTTCAGCAGAGCCCCAGAGGCAAAGCCATGATGGCATCTGAACTCACACCTTTCCACCAGATCAAACCAGACAAGTCACTGGCTTTTCTGTGGATTTATGGTATGGCCTAGGGACATTGTTAAACAACAAAGCTGCCACAGTCAAAGCACATAATCACTCTTACTTGTCCTAGACCAGTGTGTGACGTCACTGCATCTCAGAAAGGGCCTCCCTACACAGGATTACATATCTAGATTTAACATAACCTAGTTTCTACCAAATATAGGTTGTGAAAGTCCCTCCTCTCCTGTTCCTCCCTGTCTCCAGTTCCCCAAATGAGAAACTGAGTGGCAAAATAAGATTAATAGCTCAGCAGAATAAGGTCAGAGAAAATGTAATAGGGTCTTAATTTCAAATGGCTCCCTGAGAAATGGCAGCTAAATTAGGATTGGTGAGTTCACAATGCCCTTCTTTCCCCAAACTTCTTTACACAGTTCAGTGCTCATAGTGAAAAACTGGCCAAAGTTATTATAAAGCAGAAAGGTCATTCCTGCAAACGTTTATTAGAAGGGTGAGAAGTGCTAAGATGATTTCTAATCAAATATTCAATAATAATGCAAAGACAATAGCATCTTCAGGTATCATTTAGGTCATAAGAAATTATGAGACACTTAAAAGCTAAAAATCACCTTTAATTTCTAGTTAAATATGACAGACTACAAAGTAATTTGTTAATTTTATACACAAAGCAGCTCAAAAATTTTACATCCAATTTTTAACTGAAATACCAATAAACTCTGAAAATTTAAGCCTGGACAGAAAGAAGGAAAAGAGAGAGGAGGAGGTGTCCTATCTAATGTGTTCCTTGTTCAGCTTGGTTCAAACCTGTGCCTAACACTTAATATTCTAAAATATGGTTCTTTTATGGAAAAAAAAAACACAAAAAAAGGATGGAAGAACGTCTTTGAGTCTCTTAATACACAGTCAGAATTTGGGATTTATATTAATTTTAACATCCTACTTTTGTGAGGCTGTTTGCAGAACACACTATTCTTTCTGCTTCCTTGGGAGCTTCAACTGTTAAGATACCTGCAAACAGTTCTCACCTTACCACCACGCTTAGTCATCATGGGAATGTGTTACACGTTTTCTTGTACAGCTGCATCTCCTTCATCTGCTGCTTTCTATTATTACTTTGTAAGTGTACCCTGAGGCTAAGCAATAGAAGTATACAAGGAAAGTAATTAATAATTTAAATTGTTCCTCACTGAGACCACCTTCCTTCTTAGTCATTCTGCCTTTCTAAGTTTACTGCGTTTTATTTACTGTTTTTAAAACCACAATGGTTATGATAACAGCGTTGGGCAATTTAAAAACATTTTTCTTTTCAAAAGTCAAGTGTAATGAAGCATTCATGCACCCCATATAGAAGACTGCTCTGAAAACAAGCAGCTTGAATAAATTCTTTGCATTCAAAGAACACCGAAATAACAGGAAGTTCCAGTTACTTTACTTCTAGAATATCTACAGCCTTTCCCAAACCAGACCGTTGCTGCTACCCAGAAAAAAATTCCAGGCTAAGATTTACCTGCATTTGCTTACCCCTTTCTCACATCGGGTCAATTCTGGAGTTTTCTCTCCCCTTCCTAGAGTCAGGAATTCCTCTTCTCCCCCCAGGTGGTCAAGACTCTAGGGATATGTTTCTCCATTATGAGGCGAGGAAGAGGTGTTTCTTAGCCTCAAGTTACCAGAGACAGGCGAGGTTTGCCCATCAATAAGAAAACCTTTTGGGGAAACCCTTTTCCCTTTCGCTAGCTGGACACGTACCAATCTCTCAAAGAACGTCGCCTAGAGGGAGGTTCTCCCCACGGCCTCTAGCCTCTACCGGCCACACCCCTGGCCTCTGGCTCTCCTAAACCCCCAACTTTGAAACACATCTTCCCGCCCCCACCCCTGCCATGCCCCCGACTACCTGCTGCCACACCCAAGAATTCCCTCACCCCACCACAGCCACCACTTGGGGACCCTTTCCTCAACCCTTTTCTTCACAACGGTCACACCCGACGGCTCCCTCCATCCTCAACGGTCACGGCTCTTAGGATTTCCTTTCCCTCTGCCGGTCTCGGACCCGGCGTGGGATTCCCCTTCCCTCTCCTCCTCCCCCATCAATTAGGGACACACCCCAAAGTCAGCCGCCTTGAACTCACCGGAGGCAAGGGCGGGGTGGCGGCAGCAGCCGGAGAGCACAGCCGGGGTGGTGTTGTAATGGTTTCCTGCCCGTCACGATTCTTTCTCTAGGTCTAAGCCACTGCGCAAAACCCACTTTGCCAGGGACAAAGATGGTGGGCAGGAAACTCTGACGTCAGAAAACCTCGCCATGCGACGTCATCGGAGCGCGCGGGAGACCCAGAAAGGAGGTGATCTTTGTCGCCTTGGAGACGGAAAAATTTCGCTTGGCCTGGGCAAGGCCTGAAGACCTGGGCCTCAGAGGATGTTCAGTGGCTATCCCAAGGGATATTTTAAACAAGGTGACATTGTCTGGATTTGTTTCCTGGCACAAGAATTCTCTGCAAAACTTAAACATGGGGTGAAATGTTCTGTTCCTTAAAAAAAAAAAACACCTCAGCTAATTTCCCTGGCAGGCTAAGAAGCGGACAATGATGATCCAATCCAGGACTATACTCTGGCAGTGGGGCTAGAGGAGAGTGTGCAAGGAAAAGAGGTTGAGCTGACACCAGATCTGAGTTAGAATCTGTCCCCTGAATGTGACTGGGAAGTTGCTTAACAGTCTCCTCAAACTTAGTCTTTTTATCTGTGAAATGAAGACAATGTATAATCTCTCTCTGACACGTGAAGCCTAAACGGCATAAAGTAGGAAAAGTGCCTAGGATGTAATAGGTATGCCTACAAAAAAGTAAGTTTCTTTCAGAAAAAAATTAAGACCTAGATTCCAGGATCTGGAACTGGAGAACAAGGTTGATGAGGCCAAACGAAACGCTGTCAATGAAACTAGCTGTCCCTAAGGTTTATTTGAGGGTGTGGAGCAAAGGGATGAATTTTTTTTTTTTTTGTCACATATTTGCCCATCAACTCTAGGAGTCAAAAAGTGTATATGTATTTTAAAGCTTCATGCTTAAGTAATCGGACGTATGTAAAAATTTCATATATCATATTCATGTATTATTATTTCTTCTTTTATTAAAATAGGAGAAATTGGGAACCTAGATGTAAAACTAGAGAATGTAAACCTTTATGGTAAATCAGGTAGTTGCATAATGTTGTAGAAGAATATTTTATGAAACAAGAAAATTTACGATAAAATGTTAAGTAAAAAGATTCAAAACAATATAATATACAGTATGAATACATATGTATAGAAAAAAGGCAAGAATATTTAGCAAAATGTTAAAATGGTTATTGCTAGATTGTGAGAGTTTTAATTTTCTTCCCAGTATTTTTCTGTACTTTTCAAATGTTCTACACTGAACATGTATTTATTTCTATGATTGGAAAATGCTTTTCAAATCATTTTTGAAAAATATATAATGATATAGAAAAATGCGTTAAGATAATGGTAAGGGAGGAAACCCCAACAAGATACAAAACTCTAAATCCAGAGAGTATCTATACCTATTAGAGTGGTTCTATTTGGGTGGTAGATTACAAATGTTATTGTGCTCTTTATATTTTTTGTATTTTCCAAGTCTTTCTCTAAGAAACATGTATTTTAAGAATATGGCTGGGCGCAATGGCTCATGCCTGTAATCCTAGCACTCTGGGAGGCCAAGGCAGGCAGATCACTCAAGGTCAGGAGTTCAAAACCAGCCTGAGCAAGAGCAAGACCCCCATCTCTACTAAGAAATAGAAAGAAATCAATTGGCCAACTGAAAATATATAGAAAAAAAGTAGCCAAGCATGGTAGCACATGCCTGTAGTCCCAGCTACTTGGGAGGCTGAGGCAGAAGGATTGCTTGAGCCCAGGAGTTTGAGGTTGCTGTGAGCTAGGCTGATGCCACAGCACTCTAACCGGGGCAAAAAAAAAAAAAAAAAGAAAAGAAAAGAAAAAAATAATAAATAAATGCTATTTTTAAAATATACCATCAAAAGCCTTTCAGATCGCATCCTCCTCCAGTTTTGTGTCAAAGTATTGCCTGTTTTGGGACTGTGTACCACTGGGGTACTTCTACCTATCTTCTTTCTGGCTCCTTTACCTCTACTATTAATTCACAGATATTTATTGAGGGCTACTATGTGCCAGCAATTGTACTAGAGACCCAAATTTAAATAAAACCTGGTCCTTATCACCAAGGTCTAATGGGAGACCACTCAGGAAGTCATTGAAATACTCCAGCCACAGGATAATGGTGGCTTAACCAATCTAGTTAATATTTACTGAGCATATATTCTATGTAAGTTATTCTGCTAAGTACTTTGCCATTATTATATTTTTAAATTCTCACAACCTGATAACCAGGTAGATACTATTACTTTCTCTATTTTACAGAGATACAGGAAAGTTAATGGTGGAATTAAGATTTGAACCCAGGAAGTCTAACACTAGAACTGATAATGCCCGTGTTTTAGACTTGGGCAAGAGATAATCATGGTACCAGTCATTGAAAATAGGAAAATATAAGAAATGGCTCAAGTCTGGGGAAAGTTGGGAGGTGGTGAGTTTATTTTTATACATGATGGATTTCAGTATAGATGTCTGTCCAAGAGATATTTGACTGTATGTGTCTGAAGATAAGGAATGATCTGGAATTGAGTTAGATTTGTGAACTAGCAGCATGTACATGATAATTTAATCTGTGGAAGTGAACATTACTCATGAAGAACGTGGAGAATGCGAGAGCTTGGGACAGAAATAGAGGAAACCAAGAATGCAAAGAGGACTGAGAAGGAATAGGCAGAGAGGTGGAAGGAAAAGCAGGATACTATGATATTTTAGGATGTTTTCATAGTTCCATGAAAGTAGGCACTATACTAATCTGTTCACTCTTGTATATGTGAGTCCTAGCCCCCCCCACTCATTAATATATGTTAAATAAATAAATGTATGACTAAGTGGTCAACAATGTCAGTTGCTATAGAGGGGAGAAGGAAAGGCTGAAAAATGTCCACAGGATTTAGCAACATGGAGGTGTTGATGTCATTGCTGAGAGCATCAGTAGAGATAAGAAGGCAGAAACTATCCTGTGATGTTTGAAGATGAATTGGAAGTGAGGAAGTAAAAACAGGAGTTACACATAACTCGTAAGAAAGTATGACTGGAGAGAAGAGACAGAGGATGGTATTTGAGAAAAAGAGTGGCAAGGATTTGTTTTTAAGTTTAGTTCTATACTCACACATTTTCTCTACACTAACCGTTTAGCAATAACAGAGGTTTAATTATCTTCCATACATACCATTCTCTACCAAAATCTCTATCTCTAGTCTTGACTTTTTCCCCAAATTTCATCACCAAATTGATAACCATACTGATGGGTAATTATTAATATATATTTATGGTCCACCAAAATTAAATCATAAGTAGATAGAGGACATTAGAAAAACCTGGTGCCAGGTACAGCTCCCAGTAGAGAAAGGTAGATTTCATAAAGAAGATGTCAACAGAAAATCATTAAGAAATTTGATTCCTAACTCTCCCCTGTTCAAAAACTTTCAATGGCTTCTCATTACCTACCATGTTCAAAAACCTCTTCTTTCCTCAGTTTCCCCCACTTCTGTGTTCCTTTCATTGGTTTTCTCATCTATAATATATCAGAAGTAGCAATATCCAATCATAAAACTGTTATAATATTGAACAGTGACATGAATTATTATATATGTAAAGCACTTAGAACTATGCCTGGCACATAGTACGGACTATGTAAATATTTGCTGTAATTGATTATTTCAGTAAATTGCAGTGAACCGCTCAAGGCAGAAACCTAGGGGTTATTCCTGATTTCTCTCTCTTCCTCAACTGCTATGTCCAATTAATCTCCAAGTTATCAATTCTACCTTCAAAATATATCTTAAACCCATTCAATTCCCTCTATTCTACCTCATGAGTCCAAACCACCATCACCTCTTGCCTGACTCCTAGACGCTTCTAATTCTTCTCTAGACTATTCTCCCTACAGAAGTCAGGGTTTTAACTCGTTTTTGAAGTGTAACATACATTCAAAAAAAGTGCATGCATCACAAATGTAAAGCTTGATATACAAAGTAAATGTTGTATGCCCGAAAAATCATCAGAGGGTCATCTTTTAAAAATATAGCCCAGCATGATAGTTTACACCTGTAATCCCATCTACTTGGGAGACTCAGGTGGGAGGATCACATGAGCCCAGGAGTTGGAGGCTGCAGTGAGCTATGATCGTGCCACTGCACTCCAGCCTGGGCAACAGAGGGAGACCCTGTCACTAAATATTATATGTATATATAGATAGATAGATATAAACTTGATCATGTCTCTGGTGTATAAATTCTTCATGTGCTTCCCATTGCACTTGGACTAAAATCCAGGCTCCTTCCGATGGCCTAAGTCTCTTGCATAGTGTGGCCCCTGTCAACCCAACAGGACTTTACGCCTTTTTGTCATTCATCATTTCACCTTTTGCTTGCTATAATGGCCCCTAAACACACCAAGCTCTTTCTCACCTTAGGGCCTTCACAAATACTGCTGCTTCTGTCTAATATTCTTATCCTCAATTCCTCATATGGCTGGCTCCTCATAATTTAGGTCTCAGTTTGTTCTCAGAAGGGCATTCTCTGATAATCAAGTCTACAAGATTCTGCCCTTCCAGCCACCATTGCCATGCCCATCCTAGCCCTCTTATTCAACTTGTAAATTACATATTTCTTAGCTTTATTATCTTTCTCCACAACTAGATTGTAAATTGCATGAGGGCAGGTACCACGTCTGTTTGTCCTACTACTTTACACCCAGGAGCATAATGTCTAACACACAGAAGGTACTCAATATTTATTGAATAAATAAATGTCCACAGGCAAATTCTAAAACTAGTATTTAAGATCCTCCACAGTCCACCAAAATCTACTTTCAACACACTCTCCACTTTTCCTTTCTGTTGCTCTAAGATTAAAGCAAACTATAATTCCTCCTCATATTCTAAGCTGTTCCTTCCTGGAAAGCCTTTCACCACTGCAACTTGCTCCAAATGTATTCATCTTTTGAGGTCCACCTAATTCACAAAACTTTTAGTGGACATGTGTTATGACATGGAGTACAGAAGGTACCTGATTACATTACCTGGTAACCTGGTTATTATAGGGCAAATGGCAGAGAGAAGCTGAAATAAAATATGAGGTCAGAAACACAGTTCTTCCAATTGTTTGGTTCCATATATTTGC